TCAGAGAAGCTAATTTATTACGCCACGAGGTTACTTGCACCGGCGGAACGGAATTATGGGCAAATCTGGGAGGATGTGCTTGCTGGTAATCAACTTTTCGATGAAGAACCTTTTTATAATGCTTTATGGTCATCAATTGACACGGATCAAAGAAAGGTATCTCAAAGTATTCGACAAACGGACTGCAGAGCTGATCAGCTGTACCCTACAGATACAACTTTGACATTCAGTACGTGTTCAGTGCGATTATCAATCAAGCAGACGGATTTTATCGCCCATTTGACTCATGTAAGAAGCAGTCCAAAGGTGTAATTAATAAACCTGTTGCAATGAAATACACAAGGCCATTTATTTTCATTGCACGCATTTGCCGACCAGACTTTCCGGCGAATTTTGACAATTCCAAAATCCAATGTCAGTAGGATAAGACGCTGGGACAGTTTCGTAGGGCACACAAGGGGAAAAACCGCCTGATGAGCTTGATAAGCAGATGACTTTAATGGCCCAGTATAAACAAAGAACTTGAAAAACGGTCGTGTGTAAGCCAGTTGCCCGGTGAAGTTGAAGATACCAACAATAGTTCATTTGTGTTCTTGGTTGGAACCAAATAGCCCTTGGACGAGTATCTGCATCTATTATGAAGGAGTAATTCCGTGTTTCAGCTAATTGATCGTGCTGCACGCACAAATCAGATAACCAGAGGTGTTACTCGTAAAGAACATGACAACCGGTACAACGATCGACTTCCTTCAACGTCCACTCAGCCAAGTTGGATGCCAGTGAGCGATAACGGTGAACAAACCATGTCACTCGCCCTCATAAGATTCATAGATCTGGCAAACATTCAAAACAAGCAGAAACCGCCATGAAATCCGCTAGTGAACAGATAGGCCAAGCGATTAGTGGCTAGATTCAAACGAGCATTATAGAAACAGGAAGAGAATAAGAATGTGACTTTGAGGGAACGTCCCTGTTTAACTATCGAGCATGCACTAACTCGAGCAGTGCCAATGTTCTCTCTTCGTCTGATGCGAGCCCTGATGTCCAGGACGGTGAGCATGTATTTAGACGTAATTCAACTGAATACATCCACGTCAGTTCCGAGTTTTCGACTAAACAGTCAGAAAGAGTTCCAATGACTCATGTTTTGCCATTGGACCCAGATTCGCTGTAAACACACCACTCTTAAATCACTTTCACTCTGCACTGTATTACCCAATTGTTTTCGAGATAACTGAAACATTGAAGGTGTCTTTGTGTAGATGTATCGGATCGAAAACGACATCGAATTGGGTGTATCAAAATGTACAATCGTATCCCTTTGCCAAAAAGACTCAGTTTCCGTACTGGGATATCAACAACTTCCGTATGTTTTTTTACACATCGGGACCAAATGATTTTAGGAGTGCATCGAATGGTTTTGCCATGGGATCTCCCTTCTCTCCGATTGTAGCCGACCTCTTTTTACATTCAATCGAATCAAATGCACTCTCCAGTTTTGATATGCCACCACGTTTGTACGTAAGATAAGTAGACGATACTTTTTTCCTTATTAAATCACAACATCCACATGCGTTTCTTGATTGTCTCAACAAACAGTGCAGCTCCATCAATTTCACAATGGAGTTAGAGAATGTGAAAAAAGTAATCATTTTTCTAGACTGTTATCTCAGGGTGAACGACTCACGCAAATTTACCACCAGCGTTCACAGAAAACCGATACATTAGAATAAACTTTTACATTTTGAATCATGTCATCCGCAATGCGTAAAACGGACTCTTATCTCCTCTCTGGCTGACAGGGTCAAAAAGCTCTGTAATCAAGACAATAACTGCCAAATGGAAATCAAACGCCTAAAAGAAGTGCTAGAAGACAACCATTATCCGCCACTCCTGGTAAGATCGCAGTTGGAGGCGAACACACCAATGATACAACCCAATGACAGAAAAGACCATGTAGCCTCCATTGGCATTCCATATAGATCAGGCACTTCAAAAGCAATCAGAAAAATTCTCGGCGATTGCAACATGCACACATTCTTTCGGGTTGACAACACTCTGAAACGCCATCTCTTGAAAGCCAAAGAACCGGTCGAATTGCAAGATCAAAACAACTGCA